GCACTGTTTGTATAGAGGAGTTTGGGGCAATGAGACTCACAATGAGTAGACATAATTCTTCACACTTACGCAGCGAGCTGGTGCTGCTCTTCCTCCCGGGTATCCTCAGGGGGGTCCCATCTGCCTGGTGGAGAATGGGGCTGCTCACTGGTTTATTCTCACGCATTCAGGGTGTGTGCTGGGCTGCCTTAGACTGGCAATAGAACATTGATTTGTCTCCAGACAGGCCTGCCTCCGACATTCATGCAACAGATGGCTCTGCGGTGCCCTTAAGTTTGTGGTCTCCACACATCACAGGCTGAATATATTCCTCCTCTGCAAGCTACTGATTGTTTTTCTGACCATGCAGACCTCGCAGGTCTTTTCTGGACTTTACAAATGCCTGCATCCTGTTGTCTTCATTGAGGTCAGTCTTCCCATGGGCTGACACTGCGTTTGTCTCAGTGGTATTGTGTAGATCCAAGGTTCACATAAATACTTTTGGTGTTGCTGTTTATTATCTTTAGTTGAAATTATCTGGGACCATGCTGACAGACTTAAGAAACCTGGGACTAATTCACCTTTCGGGTAAAAAATTGAATAAGAAAACTAGTTCTGTTTCATCCCTGTTGGAGGGAAGAATTCTCTTTGCATTTAATTGAAAGAAGAGAGTTTGTGGGTCTCTTTTGTTTCATTGTGTGTATATTCTTTATATCTTTCTTTTATCCCTGTCGTGTAAATAAGGATCCACAACTCTCAATAAAATATCCCTGGGCATTTGTTTTGCAATCATAAAGTCAATACCCTCTTCATAATGAGCTATTGGCTTTGCTACAAACACAAAACAAAACAGTAATGCATTGCAAAAGCACAGTTGTCTGTTTCCAGCAGATGAGCTAAGGTCCTCAAATAGGAGCAAGAGTGTATGTGCATGTGACTGTGTTTAATTTGCCTTGGGTAGCATGCAAGTCAAGGATTCTTTCTTTATTTTTTGAACAAAGCTGTTTTTAAGAACCCTGAATTTGCATGAAAAAGATGCTGGTCCCATTCGGTTTCACACATATATTGGGACCTTGGGGGTTTGAAGATATGGTTTGTCAAGGGACTGCTGAACCCAAGGGCAAATGAGATGACTATAAAAAAGGCAGACGCATTTATTTTTAATACTTTGATTAAGTTGATAATTTGAGCCCAGAATTGGGAACATCTAGAAATGCTGAGATTTTTACCATAGATGGTTTCACCCATCTGATGACTCCGTCACTTCCTTAATTTTTATCAAGAATGACAACTCTTTCGTGCAAAAATAAAATACAATTCCTACTAAAAACAAAAACCCTGCAAACACATGGAATACCAACGATATGAAAGATTTGGGAGATAGAAAGTGCCAAACCTCAAGAAAGTATTCTTTCCTGTGTTTCGTTTTGTTTTTGTTTTTTTGGTTTTTTTTGGCCTTGAAATTCTCTTTTCAAACGAAATAGGATTCAGAAACTTACAACATAAAATAAGTCAAAATTGGGATGCTTTGCTTAGTGGGACTTAGATGGTACTGGTCTTGCCCTGCCTACACCACAGAAAACCCCTCCAACTGTTACTTGCAAGCCTTTGACATGCCTGCTCCATATTACGCATATTGCATTTCCTGAATAAATGATATAAACCAATAACAGAACATGGTTTTAAAGAGACAGTTGTATTTGCTATTCTCCTGAATTCTGCTCATTCACTGCCTAACTACTTTGAATCATGGTAGCTCCCAAGTAACTAGACATAATAAGCCAGTTTATAGCTTATAAATAAGGAGCACTAGGTTGCAGGGCTTGGGTTGAAGATTGTCTTTTCTGTGACCCAGACTACAGCGAGATTCCTCATGTGTGCGTCACACATTTCAAACGTGGCTATTTGAAATTGGGCACATCTCTGGTCACATGATGGTAGGTCAAACCCAAGCTGATGTTTCCAGTTTCTACATATTTATTTTGCTCTGTTTCCCCAAATCAGTTGGCTTACATGCTGCCACTTTGAGGATGAGCCTTTCACATTGGTTCACTCATTATATGCCTAAAATATAATGTGTGGGCAGAATATAAAATTCATGACTTAAGAATATTTTCCTTCTTAAAAACTGTGTAATGGCTAAAACCATTACATTTTTCTTTCAAATTGAATTTTATAAGATTTCACATGAACCTATATACCATGTGAAAATTCCTAATAGTGTTATAAAGGCAAACTCTTTTAAGGATAAAATAGTGATGTTCCTAACCTTTAAGCTGTGTGAGGACTCTTTCATCGTTTAGTAGGATGATTGTGCTAAGATAAACTTTGCTCTGTTTGTAGGAATGTCATCTTTATGCTAAACTGCTCTTGTAAAAAATTAACATGCTATTAGCATATATATTCAATCTTGTGCTGAAGATTCAGCAATCAGGAATAATGATTCCAGGAAATTTTCTAGACCATTCTTCCATTTCTCCTTCTGGATCTTCTAGGTTAAGTTCTTGAAGTGTGGTCCTAGGATGCTGATTGTTCCTGAGACCTTTTCAAGAGATCTGAATCTGCAGAGAGAGAGAGAGAGTGTGTGTGTGTGTGTGTGTAGTCTCCTTTAATTGTTCTGAGCAGTTGTTTTATAGTTTTCACTGTAGTAGTCTGACAAATCTTTTGTAAATTTATTTCCTAAGTGTTTTATGTTTTGACACTATTGTAAATGAATTTTTTAAAATAGATTTTCTAGTTGTTTGATGCTAGTATGTAAAAACACAATTGGTTTTTGTGTATTGGCTTATATCTGTGACTTGCTAAATTCGCTTATTAGTTATATGGTTGTTTTGTAGGTTCCTTAGTATATTCTATTTAGAAAATTGTCATCTGTGAATAGAGACAGTTTTACCTTCTCTTTTTTAATATTCATGTCTTTTATTTTTCTTGCCTTATTGAACTACATAGGAGTTTTGCCTATCTCTGGACTTTATATAAATGGAATCATAAACTATATACTCTTTTATGTTTGCTTCTTTCATTCTTTCATATGCTTGTGGTATTCGATATGTTGTTGTGGTTAGGTATACATGACTCCTTCTCAGTACTTTCTGGTATCCCAGTGTGTGATTATGTAGAAGTTTACCCATTCTGTTGTTAATGGGGTGCACATTTTTAGTTTAAGGTGATAACAAATAGTGCATCTAGGAACATTCTAGTACATGTCCTTTACTGAACATATATATGCATTTCTGTTGCATATATACTGAGTTGAATTGCTCGGTCATAGAGTATAAGGTATGTTCTTCTCTGCTTTCTTTGTCCGTATATCTACCATGTGTTTATTTTTTATAGTAAACCAGAAGTCAAGTCATGTCCTTCTCTTTCCATTCTTTGCTCCTTTCATCTGCTCATTAGGACTTGGGTCAGAGAACACAGAGATTTCTGCCTTGCTCACCTCATAATGAGGCACTTGATTTCATCTCTTCCTGGCTTCTTTCTCTTGACTTTGTTGCCCTCTCCCACAGGGTCTATGCATGGGTCCTGCCCCAGGCTCCCAAAACTTGTTCTCCTCAGGGATCTCCTGGTTCTAGTTTTATTCCTTCTAATATGTCTCTTTAGGCACTAATTCAAAGAGAACTATTCCTACTAAAAAATTGACTTAACTGTAACCAAACTAAAGCACAGGCCTTCTTGGCAGTCACTGACATTTCAAAGACCCAAGCAGTTAGGCCTGGAGAAATCCTCTCACTCAGCTGGGAATCCAGTTGTTCCCTTGCTGCTTGTGGATAGCTGAATAGCTGGTCCTGTGTAGAGAGAAGGCTGAGGGATGAAATATCACGCAAACGGTTTCACAACTTGATAACCGTAGAAGGATTTCGGGGAAAATCCTTCCTAATGCTAAGATTGGAAGATTACTGGAAAGGTTCACTTACCCCTACTTTATCTGTAAACTTTTTTTCCTAAGAATCATTGAAAAGCTATCCAAAATGTAGTATCTGTCACTTTACAAAGCATTCTTAAAATTTTGGTGAATATTAAATTTTTTTCTAAATGAAATCAGAATTACAATTATAAGGGATACAAAATAGGCCCCATTGTAAAATAAAGAATGCTAAAATAAATGTTTTTAGATTTTACATATTTTCTAAGCCCTGAAAAAATGATAAGCAAAATTTTTATTTGGGATTTGTGAAATAAAGAAAACCTAAAGTTTGATCCTAATACAATTGATATGTACCAGCTGGGAGCTTGGTATGTTACTTAGCATATCTGAGCCTCAGTTTCCAAATCTATAAATGGGGATAATAAAGCCTATTATAGGGTTGTTGTCAGGCTCATATAAGATCAGGTAAAATACTCAACACAGTACTTTGAGGTAGCAAGTCTGTAAATGCTTTTTTTTAAAGATTTTATTTATGTATTTGTCAGAGAGAGAGAGAGCACAAGCAGGGGAGTGGCAGGCAGAGGGAGAAGCAGTCTCCCCACTGTTCAAGGAGCCTGATGCGGGACTCTATCCCAGGATCATGGGATCATGACCTGAGTTGAAGGCAGACGCTTAACAGACTGAGCCACCCAGGTGTCCCTGTAAATGATTTTCTGTTATCATTTCAAAAATGGTGCAGATTCAAGTCTGTTTGCCTTTTAAAATTCATGATCAGTAAAGAGCAACAAAAGAAATAAAAATAATTGTATATAAGCAAAGTTGACACAGAAAGGACCACTGAAATATTTTAGCCACGGGAAAATTTGTTTCCAAATTATATATGTTCGTGAACTTAAAGGGAAGCTTTTACTTAGCATTCAGGGTTTATTTGGATTTTATAAAATCCAGGGCAAAAAAAAAAATCTCTTTCATGACACTCAATGAAAACAATGCACGAATGACTTTAAATATTTATAGAAAGTTTAGTGGAGGAAGTGAGCTAAACCAAGGAAGGAGTTCCTCTGGAGACCTCAAAAGAATGTTTCAAAGCCATGCCAGTGTACCTCTACCCTGAGAAGAATAGGCAACTAACCATGTGCTTTTGTTTCCCCAGGGAGAAGTTGGCCGTGGCCCGGCTGCAGCGAGAAGTTGCCCAAAGAAGAAGTGAGGGGGCCATGGTAAGTGCTGTCTGGTCTCTCCTGATCCTGCACCTCCCTTCCAAAGATCTCTGGCTGGAAAGGCATTTTTGTCTCATTAAGGATATCTAAGGAAAATATTTGCTTGCAGCAAACTTAATGATGTATTAGTAAATAGTGTGTTTCTAATGCGGTTTGGACAGTTCTGCCATTTGCAGACAGGGAGAGGGGAGGGAGAGGAGGAGGGAGGGGTGGTATTAATTGAGAAAAAGAAATAACTATCTGGGCTTTGAAGAGCATGTTCAAACATTCAGTTGGTTATATAGCTTTATTTCCTGAAGACCCGGGCTTCCAGCTGTGAGCAGAGTGTCAGTAAATGAGCAATTATAGGTTTTCAGCTAAGAACGGTTCAACATAACTCAAGCCTGTCGGTTCTTTGAACTTAGAAACAAACAACCTAAAGAACACGGAGATTTTTACTAATTTAATTGTCTTCTACCCTTTTCTTTCTCTGCACTCTTGTATTTCTCCCTGCCCTTCCCAGTGTGTGCCATTCAGAAAACTGATGTTTCCTTGTGTTTTGAATTGTACTAAAAATCAATATGGTTGTTTTGGTCCATAGCAACTTCATTTTATAGACTCTCTTTGCGAAAGTATCTGCCTGCGTGCCACTCTAACATCAGAGATGACTGCCTGGGGTCCCAGGGTGCATACATGTGTGGATTAACTGCTGCTCCTTCCTCTGAGCAAAAAATAGAGCACTAGATTTTTTTCTCACTTTGGACAAAACAATGGCACAAGTGCCATTTTTCAGCACAAGAATTACCTTTTTTTAAAAAAGAGAAGTGACACATTTTTAGACCAGGCTGCTTCTGTTTCATTTCATGAGAGTTAATTGACAATCCATACCCCGAAAAGAATAAGAAATTAGTAAAAATATGCTGGCCTCGCACCTCTCTCAGGGAAGGTAAAGGTCTGGAGCAAGAGACTGAATGTTTAGTGGGTTCTGGAATGGTGCAGTGGCCTTTGAGCATGCTAAAATGTGATCACATGGTTTGCAATTCTGGTGATCTCAATGCAAAGAGAATCTTAAATGTTCAAACAATAGGAGACAACTGCTCACAAGCATCTTTGAGCAATGAAATGGAAATAAGCTGGAGAAAATGAATGTTTAGTCACATAGTGCCCGAATCTGGACTTTGACGGTGTCGGGGTATGTGTACGGGCTAGGCCATTCTGCGATGTTTTCGTGTTTTGTTTCGGGCTAGCTCCTGTTGTACATGTTGTCAGCTATGTCCTAAATGAATGTGAAGAAGTGACAACTTTTCTAGGTCTCAATTTTTTTATATATATATTTTTTTAGATCTCAATTTTTTCATCTTCAAAATGAGGAGTTTGGAGTTTTATGATGACATTAACTTAGTGGATCACGCCACTGAGCATGTGTTATGTAAAGTTTTTATGATGGGGAGCTTTTCCTAGTAATAGCTAAATGCTATTTAAGCTCATAAGCACAGGCCTCTAGAATGTCTCTTTCTGGCGCCAATGAGTGGGTCTCAGCTGAAGTAATCTAAGGCATATAACTCACTAGTCTTTAACAAGATAAAAACCCCTTGCAAAACATTGCGGAATAATTGTTCAGCGTCAAAAATACCCAGAAAACACAAGGACGCAAAAAGGTTACTCTCCTTGCTCAAAAAACAACTTGGCAAATGTTTCTGGTATGTTGTTATTCTTATTTTAATTATGGTAATGAAAAATCACACTTACGTGTTGTTTGATTTAACAAGCATTTATTGAGCACCCACTCCGTGCCTGGCACTGTCCTAGGCCCCGGGGAAACATCAGTGAAAAAAAAAACAGGCAAAAATCTGAGAGCTTACATTTTCGTGGTTGTGAAGACAGACACTGAATGTATTTAGAGTGTTAGATGGTGAACAAGATCAGGGTAGGAGAGATTGGGAGTTCTAGGGCATCACTATTTTAAGTAGAGTTTCATAGAAGTAAATCACTGAAAAGTTAGTATTTGAGCAAAACTTGAAGGAGGCAAAAGAGTGAAACCTGGTGATATCTGGGGGCGATCATTCTAGGCTGGGAGACCAGCAGGTACAAAGGCCTGGGGTGGCTGAGGAAAAGCCTGCAGACAGGCTGGCTGGAGGGTAGTCGGTGGGGAGAGGGTGAATAGTAGAAGATAAAATCAGTGAAATGATGGGGGACAGAGGGGTAAGCCAAGGATCTCTGGCTCATGCTGTGAGTGATAGGAGCCATTGAAAGGCTTTGTGTAAGGCAGTGACATGATGTGATTTACTATTATTCATGTAACTGTTTACTCCCATTCCATAATTTATCACATCTCAATTCCTTAGAGACACCACAGCCCTGATTTTCATTAATGCCTTTTATTTTGTTTCTTCTCCCTCTTTCTCAGTGTTTTTCTCCTCTTTCCTTACCTCTGAGTTTTCTACTTAATTACATGCTTCAGCTTTTCTGCTCCTAGGATTCATTTATTTCTGAAGTCCTGATTCTTTTAGTATCTGACAGTTCCTAAAGTCGGGCAGTTCTGTTCATCCTCTAAATTTGATTCTTGTGTTACAAGCCCAGAACTTCTGTCATGTCCGTAGCAGAAGAGAAAAGCAGTTCATCACAACCGCATCACATTATTTAAAGACTACTATTTACAGTATTCTTTATTTTTATCCACATGAAAGGAAAAATGGTATGGAAAGTTAAGTAAGTATTGTGAAAAAAAAATTTAATTGAGGCAGGTATTGATTTTTAAAATCATCAATGAACATTTTATAATCAAAGTCTTTAATGTAAAATGCAAATTTTTAAAAATTTGACTTCATGCAATAGATCTCCTTACTTACAAGTTTTAAGATAGTATTCAAGGCTCCATTTTTGAGACATTTATTTTATTTTTTTAATACACTTTTTATTTTGGAATAATCTTAGCCTTAAAGGAAGTTTCGCATCTGCATCCCCTTGATCCAGTTTTCTAATGTTAATGTCTTCCATAACTGTGGCATAATTCTCACAAGTGAGAGATTACCATTGGCTTGTTGCTATTAATCATACTTCAGATTTTGTTAGAATTTCACCAGTTTTCCCAATAATTTCCATTTTCTGATCTACGATTCAATCCAGAGTACCACATTTCATGTAGAGAGATTGCTTTTTAATGGCTAGTTGATACAAATGTAGGGATAAAAAGACATCGAACTTGGGAGTGAGGCAGGTCTGGATTCAAAATCCATCTCTGCCAGTAGTTAGCTATGTGGGCTTAGGCACATTACTAGTTTTTATCAGTTCTGTCCATTCTTCTGTTCTGTTGACCTAAATATTTATTTGGGAAAGCTTTCTTTCAGCAATTAGATATTTCATATTTGTTTCCTTTGCTCTTGACTCTTTCATGAAATAACTCACTATTGTTTTTACACTTACTTTTCATTATTTTTCACAAGCAGCTGTAAGATCATGTTTCTCTTCATTCTGGGAGATTCTGTTACTGCTTGTGCTGCCTAGCCCTGGTTCGGTTTACATATAAAATCTATTCTGTCCTTAAGACTTTAATGTCATCTTAAATTTGGCTATATGTAAAAAGGCCCATTCTACCCCAAGAGTATAGATATTCATTATCATTATCTTTTAGAGAGTATATAGTTTTTTTTTTTTCTTTCCTGTCAATCTTGGCATCATCTAGATGGAATTAAGTTAGTGTGAGGCAGGGATCAAAAGGAATGTTTTCCCAAAATCATTTATTAAACAGTCTAAACTTTACTGTCTCTCTTATTGTATTCCAAATTCCCATATTAATCTACATGAGTTCCTGGACAGCTTATACTTTTCCATTAACCATTATTGATTCTGACATGATTCTAAATTGTTTTGATTACTAGAAATTGATAGTTTACTTAATATTTTGTAGATTATTTCTGATTATACTTTTTCCTCCAAACTTGCAAAGACAATTTTATTTATGAATAGCCAAAAGAATTTATGAGTTAAAATACATAAAGAGCATTTTATATGTACTTACAACACAACAAAATATTGTAGTGAGACCATTTCAAAATGATATGAAAAACAGCTTAAGTATATTTGCTGTTTTCTTCAATTTATATTAAAGTTTTAGAAGAATATCACTTCTGCCGCTGTTTAACTTTGTTTTTTATCAAAGAGATATTAATATCCCCAGAACACTAATATTCTATCAAACATAATTTTTAAAATGCTTGAGCTAATTATGCAAAATCTTAGATACCATGTGGTTCCTTCTCATCTCATTGGGTAATTTCTACTTAGGAAAAAGAAAAATATTAAGTCTTGATTTCTGATCTCAAGGCACTAAGGAAACAGAGGAAGCCCATTTGCCCTGTTATAAGATTCCCTTTTTTCTGCAACTAGATATTCAGATGTTGCCTGGATATTACCATACTGACCATTACCTAAATTCATAATCATAACCTCCCTTTTTTTCTCACAATGAACTTCCAAGGAGTAATGGTCAAAGATTGGGATATTGACAGAATAGGAATTTGAAGAAAAAGCAGAAGAGTTTGAGGAAGTAGGGAGATCAGAATCCTTGGACCCTCTGTGACATCCTTGCTGGAGGACAAGGCAAACTTAGGGCAGCAGAAGCCCACACTACATCTTGCTCATTCAGTGCCACAGTGTGAACAGCCAGCTACGGTGCTGACACTGGAGTTGGCTGGGTTGGCGATACAAACTTGGGGAAAAAAACGCGTGTAGAGGGGCGCCTGGGTGGCTCAGTCATTAATCGTCTGCCTTCAGCTCAGGTCATGATCCCAGGGTCCTGGGATCGAGCCCCGCATCGGGCTCCCTGCTCAGCGGGAAGCCTGCTTCTCCCTCTCCCACTCCCCCTGCTTGTGTTCCCTCTTTCGCTGTGTCTCTGTCAAATAAATAAATAAAATCTTTAAAAAAACTCAACACCACGTATAGAACCTTCACCTCTGTGGCACAGTGTTCAGTACCTGTTATTTAAACTAGAAAAGATCATTCCTCTAAAGAGACACATATGA